TAACAGGATTCCAGAGCAGATGTTCCCTGACAGATCTCCCTAATTTAAAGTGTGTGTGTGTGTGTGTGTGTGTGTGTGTGTGTGTGTGTGTGTGTTTAACGTCCTTTCAAGGACCATTCCACTCCACCCGCTCTGAGGTCTCAGGAACCCGCCTTTCCTCTCTTACAAGTCGGAACCCTCGCAGGATGACCTGGAGGAGCCCTTCCTTAGCGTCCTGGGAAGCTTTCTAGTTGACCTACTGATGTTGATAAACAAGGGATTCTCTATGAGCTTGAAAAAATATCGACGTTAATTTGTGCCACATTTAATTTTATTTATCATGAACTCAGAGTTCCTCAGTCAGAGCAGAATCTCTTTAAAAGCTACAATTGGAATTATTTCCCAACTATTTTCATAGGAACGGATTGTCATATAAAAATAATAGCAATACCCTAGAGTCATTGTCTATATGTAGAATAGGGTTTCCTGTGAGAAGGGAGAATGTGTATCTTTATAACCACACAAGAATATTTACATAACAGCAAGTCATTTTGAGCTTGTCAACAAATATATCCCTTGGATTTGGGGACAATTTATAAATATTAATGCATACTTTCTGGTGTTAAAGGTGATGTATTAATTAAAACACTATAAATGATTTTGGAACTAATAGTCATAGCAAAAAATAAAAGCAATTAGGGAACACTGATATGTGTATCTTCCAACCATTGGTAAAGGCATCAGCACAAGTCAGCACAAGAAGTTACACCTAACGCAACCCTTGCATTTGTAAAATGAGAGAACATAGCTACCATTTAGTACCTTAGTGTTTTATAATATATATAAATAGACCTATATAAAAACTTACCTACTCAGATTAAAATGCTCCCATGTAGTGAATAGGAGGGTGGGGTTTATCGTTTTGAGAAATATTACCTTTCCTTTTCTCTTTAATTCTAAAGTTTTTTTTCTTTAAAAATTCACTTAGTAGGTGTTAGGAAATTATGAACACCTGCTTTTATTTTATCAAAGAAGAGTCTCAGATATTCAAACTTTCTAAAGTTATCTGAATCGAGCATGAGGTTACTACCTGCAATTACTATACTGTACTTTTGTTATCAGGGAGGAAATAATTATAAATTTTAGTCCTTTATCAAAATCTGATTTTTGAGGTTATTTAGCAGAATGATCTTAACAGGATTAGCTAAATGGGTGTGGTGCTCAACGGGCTGTTTGATGGAAATGCTAAATACATATTTATAAACAGCTCAAAATGACCATTAACATCTTTTAAGAGTTCAGGAGACCCTCCAATTATTTCATTGCCCTTTCAAGTACAGGACTTAGGTCTGCACTCAAATCCTATCTACTGACCTTCAGAAAGAGATGACCTCTCTAAAGTATTTAGAAAAGGTTCAAAAGCAACTATTGTGTAATTAAACCAAGTAGATTTCCCTATAACCTTGGCATATTGGCTCATTGTATATTTGGGAATAGTGATGCTGCTTTGAGGTGGAGCATTGAGAAACTTGTCTGATCAGAGATTTCCACCAGCCTAAGCGAACTTCAATATTCATTAAAATAGTAAATAAAACAGCAATCCCAGGATTTGTGATCAGATACTAATAAATGCCCATGGAATGCTAATAGTTTGTTGAATTGAACAACAAATATTTTCAGAGGCAAACGATTTTGAAATACTGTTTTGGCAAAAAAGCTTTGAGAGGAAAGCTCAGCTGACAGCCTGTGGACAAATAAACAGATTCCAATCAATTCATTACCCTAAGGGTTCCCACAGCTCTTGAATTATTAAAAATAAACATGTAATGATGTAGTTAAGTTTTTAAATGGTCCCCCCTAAACCGGCTGGTAAGGTACAAGCATTAAGTGAAAAAACACGTGGAAGAGGTGATTTTCATCAACTCAAACATCTTCGGGAACTGTGGCTGGGGTGAATGAAGTGGTTATCACAGTGGACTCAGACCAAGACCAACAGTTTATTTATCACCTCAGGTTTACTTTACGTACAGCAAATAAGGGAAAAGTGATTTTCATGCAAGGAAAGATAAGCAATGTTACGGAAAATGCGGAATCACATTAATTTCTATTGGCGTTATATATAAAACAAATCCACTATAAATTTGATTTCTTTCTCAGTAGAAACCTCCTCTTCCTGCCTCAGGCAGCCTTCTTCTACTCCTCTACCAACCAGTTACCATACTTTTATGTGAGAAACTAATTTGCGCCCAACCTGTGAGTGCCTTCACCTTCAGGGCAGAAGAAACACCGACTTTTAATGCATTTTTGCAAATAAATCATTACAATGTAATCACACACGACTTTATACAGACACACTCCCATGATTTATTATTGTTGGGCGAGTTTCCCGCTCCCCCCACCACGAGATAACCAATTTGGCTACGTGTGGTTGTCTAAAACATAACTTCCTAGGAGACAGATTTGTTTACTGATTATCCGTGACTGAGAACGGCAATTACTAAGGCAATAACACCATTCAGTCCCCACCATTATTGCTTTTGGGGAACAAGAAAACCAAATAATCAAACAAGCACTCAAAAAACAAACAAGCAACCCCCACCCCAACAAACAGACAAAAACAACCCCCTCCAACACTGAACAAATAATTGGCGGCGTGACAATCTATTCTCTCGGCACTCCTAACGCCTGGCAACCTCCATCGATACACTCGGAAGCTCGGCTGATGCAGCCTGACGCTGAAACCAGGAAGGCGCTGAGCTTAAACTGAAGCAAGTTTGGTGGACGCCGGCGGTGCTCTCTTCGGCAAGGACGTTTCCAGTTCTGCAGCTCTTGTACGTTAACGGGAGGAGTGAGCCCGAAGGCCGGGGTCCAGGTGATACCCGTGTCCAGGGCCTGGGTGGCGGCGCCCATGGCTGCTGGGCTCCGAGGCCCGGCTCGGGAGTGAGGCTGCGTGGGGCCTGGTGAATTCTGGAGCTGGTTTCCAGCCGAGGGGTGGGCGGTGGCCCCACGGCGTGCGGACTGGCGCCCTGCGCATGCGCCCTGCACCTGGACCCCCCACCCCCCCACCCCCGATCCTTCGGGTCGCCCAGGAGGGCTTTAGGGGGCTTGAAAGCTTGTAGGCCTCTAGGTTGACCTATGGTCTGGAGAGGATGTTGGAAGAGTTGTCCCTGATCCATGTTCTGTGCTTTTGGGTCTTTGGCTCTTGTTTCAAAATGTGCCCTGTGTTTGTTTTCACTAGTTGTAGGTAGGATCTCGGAGAGGCTACAACTGGGTGCCCTCTGCCCACCCATTCAGTCTCTACCCTAAATCCTCTTCCGCTGTTTGCCCTTGCAATTCTGCCCTGCCCTTCGTGGCTCACACACGCTTGCTCAGAGCATGGCACAGGAGAAAATAGACTGTTCAAAATAGACATGTGTAAGCACACTGCCTGCAGATCCTTGAGTGTGGTCATAGGCCCAGAGCGAATGGCTGTTTACTTTGATGAGAAATTTAAATGTTGTACTATAGATACTTCCTACTTATGATTTTATATCCGTTTAAAAATAATTACTCTCTCAGAGGTTAAAAACCAGAAACTCACTGCCATCGAGTTTATGCGGACTCACAGTGACCCAATAGGACCCGGTTTATAGAGCTACCCTTGTAAGTTTCAGGGAGTACATCACCCATCTTTCTCTCTGAAAACAACCACCGTACATTATAGTTTTAGAATTAGCAGTATAACTCAATTCAACTAATTAAAAGCATTCAAATACATCCTTGAAATTAGACAGAAGTGTTATGTAAGTGAAAGATATGCAGAGTTCCCAGGTATGAGATTTGAGTAGATGTGACAGGTGGATCTTGTGGGCAGAGTAGATATCCTTTGAGAACTGCTCTAATCTTAGAGTTTATTACTTTTTTTTTTTTCAGGCAAAGGAGACTTCTTGCAAAGTTATAGCACCTTATGACTGTGTTCTTAAATAAGAGGGCTAAACAATTACCGAATTGGCACCTTTGTATTAATCAGTTCCTACCTAGCTCAGGTTTATCAAACACCATTGGGTTGTGAAATGGAAAATGTCTGTAAGGGGATTCGTTTAGTAGCTGGATAGACATATTTTGTGTTTTATTTTAAGCCATTGGAGATAATTTCTTGTGATTAGTAATAGTTAAAAAAAAGTGACAGATACACTCTACATACTTTTCTGGTAGTCCTGTCAGGTAAGTGATGGACTGCTAACCTCAAGGTCAATGGTTTAAACCCATCAGCTGCTCTGAGAAAAATGTGGCTGCTAATCCAGTAAAGTTTTACAGTCTCCAAAATCCTTTATAAAATCAAAGTTGGAATCCACTCGTTGACAGTGGGATTTTTGGTTGGTTTACACATTTATAGCTGTGAGGAAGAAGTATTGTGGCAGAATTTTTTATCTTTATTTCTTGTCAGTTTTGCTTTGTTAAACTAAAATTTTTCCTCTTTTACTGCCATTTGCTGCTTAAATACACTTGTTTGTGGATTTCTTCTCATACTAAGTAGCTTTCAGTTTATTTTTACCTGAGTTGGATTTCTCATTTGAATAGTGACTATTTTTCTTCTTCTCGATCCCTAGTGTATCCAGGCTCAAGAAAGTTATAGTTGAATGTACTAGTGAATAAGTAGTGGCTTATTTGGGGGGGGGGGATGGAAAAAAAAGGTAATGGTTTCCTGTACTCTTAATAATCACTGGACAAAGGGGTTTCTCCTGAAGTCTTTGATCTCTTGAGTGACCACATTATGATTCCACATCATCAATCAGCTACTTAAACTTTACAATAGGATTTAAAAAAAAAAAGAATTCCTCTATGTCAAATTCAATGTATAAGTCATTACCTGCCCTGGCTTACATTTTATAGTTGGAGTGGTTGGGTGAGTTTTGCAACCCTACGACTGATCCATGAAGAACTTGAGTGAGACCAGAAAGCCAAGAACAATAGAAGTTTTCTTCTGCCTTGCCTCTTTGTTTATACAAGGATAAGTCACAAAATACTGCGACTAGGGTTCTACTTCATACCTGCCCAGGATTGTTCTGAAAACAAACAAAAAAACCCATGTTTAAACATGTCCTTGTGATGAGTGGATAGCTGCAGACAAGGTACCTTAAAAGAAAAGAAAATAATAACTTTTTTTGGTACCAAGGTACAAGAATAAGTTAGGGCTGATATTAAATTTTTAACAAACTCAAGTGAACATCCTCCCAATCACTGAAGTGTTTGTGGAATGCTCTTTCACATAAAACAACAGCTTTTTGAGGAATGTGGTATTTTAAGGAAGTCGAGAAAACCTCATGATTTGGCAATTTAAATATTTTTATTAATCATTTTACTGGGAGCTCTTACAGATATGACATTCCATAGTTCAGTCACATCAAGCAGTGTTGTGCAATTGCTACCACAATCGGTTTGAAAACATTTTCTATCTTCTTGAACTTCTTGATATCAGCTCCCCTGTAACCCCTCTCTCCCAGACTACCCCCAGGAACCCTTATTCCTTTTTTTCCCTACAATAGTTAAAAAAAATTGCTTTTGCCATATCTACACAATTCATTATATCCATTTATATACAATTTGACATTTTCAATTTTTTTTAAGACTAGTCAAGTGCAGTAGTGAGTGGGGATAGACAAATATGTCGACCAGTAATTGACTGTAAGCAATCGTTGTGAGATCTCACTACCTTCCGACCAGCCGGCATTTTCAATTTTAAGCTGCACTTTTGGCCTTAGCAAGCTTTTGTCTTGAAGGGTACCAACAGTATTGTGTGAAGACTAATTAGCTCAAAGAACTGATCTTCCCACCAGTCTTTGAAGCAAGGTAGAAGCTAATGACTATTTTATGGAATGTATATAACCAAGAATGAATCTTGGATTTACCAATACAATCCAGAGAGCGAGGTTTAGTCAAAACAGTGGATTCCGAGGAGATCTGCTGGGCCAGTTAATTCAAGGCAGAGAACTCAACTCGAGATTATGGTGACTCTTTTGAAAGGCAAAGGAGAACTATAAGGACTTGTTATTGTTGTTAGGTACCATCGGGTCAGTTCATAGCTACCCTGTGTACAACAGACTGAAACTGCTTTGTCCTTCACCGTTCGTATATGTGAGCCCATTGTTGCAGCAACTGCGGCAGTCCGTCTTGCCAAGGACCGTCCTTTACTGCCTCTCCACAAAGGCTATCCTTCTCCTGGGACTGGTCTCTTTTGACAAGGATGTGAGACAAAAATCTTTCCATTCTTGCTTCTAAGGAGCCTTTTGACTGTACTCCTTCCAAGGCAGACTTGTTTGGTCTTTTGGAAGTCCATAACACTTTTAACTATTCCCTGCTGGCACCATAATTCAAATGCATCAATTCTTCTTTGGTCTTCTTTATTCAGTGTCCAACTTTCACAGGCATATAAAGCGATTGAAAATGCCATGGGCGTGGGTCTAGCGCACCACAGTCCTCAAAGTAACATCTTTGCTTTTACTACTCAAAAGAGGTCTTGTGCAGCTGATTTACCCAACGCAATGTGTCAGTTGATCTCTTGACTGCTGCTTCCATGAACATTGATTGTGGATCCTAGCCAGATGAAATCCTTGAAAACCTCAGACTTTTCTTCGTTTATCATGATGCTACTATTGGTCCAGTTGTGAAGATTTTCATCTTCACTTTTAATTGTAATACTCACTGAAGGCTGCAATCCTCGACCTTCATCAACAAGAGCTTCAAGTGTGCCTCACTTTCAGCAAACAAGGTTATGTCATCTGCATATTGCAGGTTGTTAATAAGCATGCTTTAATTGTGATGCCCATTCTTCATGTAATTCAACTTCTCTAATTATTTGTTCAGCATAGAGACTGAGTAAGTATGGTGAGAGGATGCAACCCAGACACACATTTTTCTTGGTTTTATTTATTTTTTCTTTCAATTTTGCCAGTTTTTAAAAAAAATCATTTTATTAGGGGCTCACACAACTCTTATCACAATCCATACACACATCAATTGTGTAAAGCGCACTTGTACATTCATTGCCCTCATCATTCTCAAAACATTTTCTCTC